CATTGGGATAACTTTATTTTATTATCAATATTTCTGCAGCAAGTGGCAACAATTTCACTATACTCCCTAGCAGAACGTCTGATGTGGAAAGATGGATTAACATTCAATATTATACCAAAATTTGAATACAAAAAAAAACCAAATAAAACCTTCTACCAGGAGGAAAATTGAATTTTGGAACAATGAATTTGCCGCGGCACTTCACACTCACACTAACCACTGACCATTGGGTGATTTAAAATGTTTTGCGGGCTTATGAAACTTCAACATCAGGACCTCCTCTAACAAGAAAAAATAATAAAAAAAACAACAAAATAGGATACCAGAAAGGTTATTCAATAAGGAGGGCATGGGTGCGACACTCATGCCGCCTACAGTAATTCCAGTTTTCGCTGAGGAGGAGAAGCTCTGGAACGCGTGTAAAAGGGGAACTAGAATAGATTTGCTGTCCCTGTAAAACCCGGAACGTCTGCTGGGACGCAAATTATAAGCGCATTCATAGTCGCTCGTCCGATCGTTATGATCGTAGCGATCGGATAAGCCGCGGTGGTACAAGGGAGGCGACGCGGTGACTCGATGCAAACTCAAACAATACGTGACTGCGCGTCACGGTATTTCGAAAGCTTGTTCGAGTATGGAGTAGTAGATGCTAATCGATCGTATGCGGCGGATGTCAGCATCGATAAGTATTTAATACCGTGCGATCGTTACGATCGGACGACCAACTATGAATACGCTCTATCAAACCACAACCCCTACCGTAATAGACCCTTAAAACAATTGTCAAGTATAAGTGTTTCGAAGAACCTGTATTGCCATGCGTGATAATTTTTCGTTTCATCCTCTATAACAGACGCAGTAAAATTGAGTTCATCAGCAGCAACAGCAGGTCCGATGAGTTCCACGATCGCTCTGCGATGATGCCTAGAATAGGATCTAAAATTTTTGGATGAATAGGCATTTTCACGAACCGATCAGGATAGTCTGGCTATAGCTCAAACAGAACAGTAGAATACTGCTAATTTAAGAAAGGTGGCCTCAGATTCAGCAGAAATTGAAAGCCGTTTCAAGAGCAACGATTTTGACATTTTTTTTGAATATCTCCGACGATTCTGGGGTCATTCGAAAGCCCCAATCTTCCGCACATTTTGGGATAAGTTACTTGTATTTGTTCTAGTTTGGATCTACACGATTTTTGATGCTGCATGAGTGCACTGCATATTCCGAAGTGCATGACTCAAAAAAAAACAACAGAAAACGGTGGACAATCCACTCGACCTAAGCCTTTCAACTTCCAAAAGTTATATATCGGTACAAACTAAAAATAGAGAGTAGGGGTGGGTTTGCTGAAGTTGAGATAACCTTTCAACATGGCATAATATTGTCGCCGATTCGACGGTTAATTCAATTGATCTACACATATTTAGGAAAAATCCGAACTGCTCGAAAGTGCCCAAAAGTTGTTTCATAAGAAGAAATTAAGGTGCTATTCTAGTTGGGGGGGGGGCACGCGGCGGCGCGGCGTTCTGTTCGTCTCCTCCTGCATGCTTAGTCCCCGATGGGGTTTACGGACTACCTTGATTTTTCCTCAATGGTCCTGCCGCGATGGCTAGAGCACAGACGATTAGAGAATGCCCTAGGACTAAGCCTTGGAGAGGAGAGGGACCCGCTAGAGAGCGCAGAGGCGGTAAAGGGCTGAGTTCAAGTAGTCCGTCAACCCGGTAAAGGGCTGAGTTCAAGTAGTCCGTCAACCCCCCGATGGCGCGTATCATGAAACTGCCACGTGATGGCGAAATAGTAACTGTCCCTGGGACTAAGCCTTTGGAGGAGCAGACGAACAGAGCGCCGCGCCGCCGCGTGCCCCCCCCAACTAAGATAGCACCGAAACGGTGAAACTCTAGTTCGGGGGGCACTCCATTGCTATCTTATCCGTAATACTAGAGAGCAAGATAATAAGTGAACGACTCATTTCGAGCGTACTTTTGATAAGGACCGGTGGATGTCCTACATTCCACACTACCTGCCCACATCCCATCCACTTTTCTGCACAGGTGATCCACCCTGGAGCTCCTGCACCCTTAGCCCTTTGCGGAGGTGTCCTTTCTCCTGGTCCAGGACCGTTCCCTTGGGTCATGGCAGGCGGAAATGTGAAAACGTTTCAGGGTTTCTCACCCATTACACCAATATTTAGCAGAAGTCTACTTTAAATGAGTCGATTACGTGTCGTGAACCCTCTAATCTTTATCTTGAGTATTGGAGAAAAAAGGGAGTGGCCCCCCCGAACTGGAGTTTCACCATAAGTCATTGAACAGAACTGAGCTTTGTGGAGCTGTCTATGGCACGATTCTATTCTGT